TTTTTTATTTATTGTATACGTTGATTGAAAAAATCAAAATAGTAAAATTGTATACATTGATTAAAAAAATCAAAATAAGAAAAATCAGAAGATTTATGTTCCATTTAGAATTGTTATTATAAGATATATTTTAAAATAAATTATCATCTAAAAATATATATTAGATATTAAAAACATATTTATATCATAAATAAATTAAACTTTATTTTTATAAAATTTAACATATTAATTTTTATATTTTTAATAGTGTTAAATTATTATAAAATAAGTCTTTATGATTGTAGTTTTACCCAAACATTTAAAAAATGTCTATGATAGATAAATAAGTCATACTTAAGATATATAATTTTAAAGAAAGTTAGGTTCAAACCAACTAAATTATAATAAAATATAGTGTGACCTAATTTATTTTCATCTTTAATACTAATCGTAGATATAAAAAACTTGTAATAAATAATTATAATATATATTTATACCTTTAAAAGATATATAAAATTTTTAATACTCCAAATATATATAAGAAATTAAAAATAAGAAATTAATATAAGAAATTAAAAATAAGAATTAAAAATAATAATTAAAAATAAGAAATTTCTGACGGATTTATAATTCTGTCGGAAATTTCCAACGAAAATATAAATCTGTCAGAAATTTTTGACGGAATATTCTGTCAAAAATTTTTCGTCAGAAATTTCCAACGGATTTAATTTACCATCAGAAGTTTTCGACAGAATTTTCTGTCAGAAAGTTTCCGTCAGAAATTTCTGACAGATTTATATTTCTGTCAGAAATTTTTGATGGAAATATAAATCCGTCAGAAATTTCTAACAGAAATATCTGTCAAAAAATTTCGTCGGAAAGTTCTGACGGATCCATATCTGTCAAAAATTTGAGCGTTAGGAAAGCTCTTGCATTTTTAGCCTGTGTTTAGGGTTTATATAGAACTAAAGCAACCTAACGTGGACAAATGCAAAGTCATTAGATTCCTGACGCTCTGCACAAAGCATTGATTTTTTTGATACTCAAGGACCAAGACAATGACACTCTGCACAAAGTCATTAATTTCTCTGACGCTCTTGGACCAAGGCAATGACATTCTGCATAAAGCATTGATTTTTTTGATGCTCTAGGACAAAGTAATTGATGACACTTTGCACAAAGTATTGATTTTTCTGACGCTCTGAGACAAAGCAATTGATGACACTGCACAAAGCATTGGATTCCTAACGCTCAAGGACCAAGACAATGACACTCTGCACAAAGTTATTAATTTTTCTGACGCTTCTAGGACAAAGCAATTGATGACACTGCACAAAACATTAATTTTTCTAGCGCTCAAGGACCAAGGCAATGACACTCTGTACAAAGTCATTAATTTCTCTAACGCTCTTGGACCAAGGCAATGACACTCTGCATAAAGCATTGATTTTTCTAACGCTCTGGGACAAAGCAATTGATGACACTCTACACAAAGTCATTGGATTCCTTACACAATGAGACAAACTAATTCAATTTTTTTGCACTATATATACACTACATACGATCCAACCCTAAACACACAACAAAAGATCAATTCTCTTCAGCTATTGCATTCTTCAATTTCGTTGCTATTATTTTTCAAGAATTTCTTCTTCATCTTCAACTATGTTGAGAAAACAACATCCCCATAGGTCAAATGAAACTCATCTTATGATAAGTTAATATATATTGCATAATGTTTACAACTAATATTATTCATTAATAACATTCCAATTCTACCATTTTCACAGACAAGAAGTGATCAAGTGATTCAATCTTACTATCATTCCATGCCTACACCTGACTCAAGAATTGAGCATTTGTTGAAGGTTGCTGGCTTTGGCGAGGTTGCAAAAATAAGACATTTTAAATTTTTATTCCAATTTTTATTTGTTTTTCTTTATCAAATAATTTTTATTTTTATTTTATTTCTTATCTATTTTCATACACTTTTTTGCATTTCTCTCTCTCTCTCTTTTTTTTTTTTTTTTTTTTTTTTTTTTTTTTTTTTTTCTCTTTTTCTCCTTTCACTCATTTCTTCTTTATAAAATACAAGTCAAATACAAGTCTAAGGATATTTGATTTCTATAGATTTGAGCCTTACCTTAGAATTGAGTCACATTTTATAAGTGATGACTTGTTCAAAAGAAGTTATATTTTTTTAAGTAAAAAATAATTTAAACCAATTTTACATTTTCTAAATTTTGATTACATTTTAAAACTGTTAAATTATAGTATTTCATATGTACTAATTAATTTGATTCAAATTATAAATAGATATGTATTTCAGACATTGACGGATTCATATATAATATAGTGGGGGCACTTGCCACCATTATCATTTGATATATACATATTTTTTTAATTAAAAAATAATATATTTTAAAAAATAAAAATTATATTTTAATAAAATAAATAAATATATATATTTAAATTATTGTATGTATAAAATATAAATTTGAAAAAGATGTTTATTTATTTGATATTTATTAAAGTTTTTTTAAAAAGTT